TTTTAAATATTTTTGAAAAAACAAAAATGGGTCTTGCTTTTTTTCCTTTTGTTTTTTTTTTCATTTGCTTTTTTTTCCTTTTGCTTTTTTTTCACTGCTTTTTTTTCCGTTGCTTTTTTTCAATTGCCTTTTTTACCCATTACCAATTAAAGAGACTGTGTCCGGCATTCCGGCGGGCCTTGATATTTTATTATCATAAATTATCATCTGTTCGCTTATCAATATTTTTATATCAATGATATTTTTCCCGCATTATTTTATTGTCGGCCAGGTTATCATTTATTCACTTTCATTTACCTAAAATATATTTTCATTTTCCTTAATACCTATTACCTACTTGATTACTTGAATGTAAAATTGTTCAGTGTTAATGTTAACTTCTTTATTAATTGTTTAAATTATTTATGTTTTTAAAACAGTTATTGTATTATCGCATAGATTTTTTCTCAAACACAATGGAATGGAATAGGGCTATAACAAAAAACTTCATTGAGCTATAATAGAGAAAAATCTTGTTTATGGAAGATTTCTTCTGAAGAATACAGAAATAAAAATTTAAAACAAGTAGCATACAATGAACTGGTTGAATATTTAAAAAGCAATGGAATGGCCGATATGACTATAAAAGAAGTGAAATCGAAAATACAAAACATCAGGTGTATGGTGAGGAAAGAAAGCAGCAAAGTTAAGACATCTAAAAGAAGTGAAAATGGCAGGATATGATGTTTATAAGCCCACATTATGTTAAGAGATTGAATATAGTATCATGTTATTAATTAAATATTTTGTCAGATATGATTTTTATCATAAAAATCAATTAATTTAAGCTTTAAAAAATATTAATTGTACAGTCCTAATTTGAAGTATATTTTGTTTTAAAAAAAATAAACCAAGTTACATATTAATATTAGTAATGATTAGTGAATGTGATAGTTACTCACCCTTTTGTATAGTTCTATCTATATTATATTACATTTATTTTCTATTCTATTTTTATTTGACATGGGTACCTACTAATTTTTACATAGGTAATGTGAAAATTATGTAAATATATTTTCCAGGTATTATGACCTTTTAGCATTTACAAATGACATGGATCCATTTTCATCGATTGATAATATAACTTCTATTAATGATGAAGAAGATGAAGAAGACAATTGCGACAACAGTCATGAAGAGGATAGGGATAAATCTGGGATGAATCAATTTTCAGCGAATGGAAATATAAACAAAGTTAGTATTTATGATATATTATTTTTAAAATATTTATGAGGATATAATTATTGGTTTAATAGATTTTCTTTTCAATATACAAACTACTTGCACCTAGGTATATGATATTTTTAATATACACTTAATTACTTATTGAACAAAAAATATATCTTATATTATTTATGATTTGGTTAATGAATTAATTAAGATTAATAATTTATATAAATTAATACTCAGTGTGACTCAGTATTAATACTAATCAAATTTTCAATAAAAATACATAATATAATATAAGTATACAACAATGTTATTTAAAATCACAAGTTACCATTAGTATACATTTATCGTGTCCGAAATACACAGAATTTTTTATATTGTTATGTGTTATATTATTATTATTTATGTAATAACTTATATTATATTTTATAGTTATTTTAAGTAGGAATAGTCATAATTTCAAACTAAATATTATTTTTAATTTTCAATTTTTAGACCTTTAAAACCATACCAATGATCCAAAAAAAACAAAGAGACAAAAATGGATGATAATATGTGTAGTTTTATGAAAAAATGCACTGAAGCTTTAAATAACACTAAAGATGGCAAATCAGATGAATTTGATGCTGTAGGTATTAACATTGCAGACAAATACATGCGGATCTCTTAATTAAAAAAATATGTACCAAAGGCCTCCTAGGGCAGTTAAATGAGAATAATTATTTTGATATTATTAGCATAGAGAAGGCCCAACAGATATCTCACGCAAACTCAAATAGCTCAAACTATCCCCAAATATATTATACGTCACTTAATAATCAAACTTGTGAGGAAAGTACATTATTTACTCAAAATATTGAATCATCTTTAGGACTTCAAAATTATTACAATCATTTGGACCTAAACAATGATGATGAATGAATACAATTTATATAAATACTAGTTAGTAGTTTATATTTTAATACTGCATTTTAATACATGCAGTGATTTGTAAAACTAAAAGACTAAAAACAGCAGGAAGGTGTCATTCAGATAATATTTTGTATTACATTTTTAAATTTTATTATGTTTATTCTTGTTATTAATATTTTGTTCGTTATTAATTATAATGCTAATCTGCACTGATTTGAAAAATAGAAGACTAAAAACGCCAAGAAGATGTCATTCATATAATATTTTGTATTACATTTTTAAATTTTATTATATTTTTATTGTTATTAATATTTTTTCGTTATTAATTATAATGTTAAAATGCTGTGATTTTCAATCACACTTAATTAAAACACCAAGATGGTATTATTTTGAAGATCCGTTATAGATTTTTTTATTATATATTTATAAGGTTATAATACATAAAAAGTTACATACAAATAAAAAAGTTTAAAATTGATTATTTCGATTTGTTATCAATATTACTTAAATTATTATTATTAAAGAAATTAAATGTAAACATTTTATTTACTGTCAATATCCTGCAGTTAAATATAATTTACAACCTTACCTGCATATACGAGTCTCTTAACACTTCATAGATAACACGACAAGTTTCAGGAATAATATATCCAAGAGTTTGTGCTGCTATGTAGTCAATGTTTAAAATAAATTAAAAATAAAATAGTAAATACACCCATATTAACAACATTTGACATTAATATAGATATTTATATTCGAACAGACAGTTTAAAGTCAGGGATAGGATGTTGTATTTTTCAGGATGATAAACCTTTTGCTTATGCTTTGCAAAGCCTTAATGATCATAAATGCCAATGGGCATAAGTGGAAAAATAATTGTATGCGATAGTGAATGCATGTGAATGATTTCATGAGTATATGTATGGTAAAAAAGTAATTATATAGTAACTAATCATAAGCCTTTAATTTCAGTAATGACCAAGAGTTGAATAAAATTAAAAATAATGGACTGAGAAGAATGAAGACAAGATTATCAATTTATAATTTAGATGTAAAGCATATTCCAGGTCGTAAAATGGTTGTGGCTAACTATTTATCGAGAGATTATAATTATAGAAACAAAAAAAACTGATGATGGAAGTATGGATGATGTAGTAGGTACATTCTATTGAATTGAAACGAATAGAGCTTAGTGAAGATAAACTTAAAAATTTTCAAAAAAGTACAATAAATAATGAAATCCTTAATGAAGCATTTTAATAACTCATAGTAGTATATCTGAAGTGCAACACCATGCAAATAGCATTTTCCAAAGACAAAAAGAAAGTTCTAGTAAACAATTATSTACAATAAATTCATTTTTTGTTACCAAAAATACATAGGAAGTCTACAAATTGATTTTGCAGAAGTTTGTAAAATTGTTCATTATATAAAACATAACTTATCTTATTATTCTCTAGATTATGATTTTAAGTTGCTTCAAAAAACATTTTTCAATTCAAATATAGCCAGAAAAATATCTTGTGGTCGTACTAAAGCTGGAGCTATACTACAAAATTTACTTGTGCGAAAGTAGAAGAAATTATAGTTAACGCCTTACAGAATATTTATTACTTTTCAGTTGCTACAGATACATCTAATAAAGGAAATAGAAAAATGTATCCAATTGTCATTCAATATTTTTGTCTGCAAACTGGATGTCAAATAAAATTATTAGATTTTTTTGAACAAGCCTGCGAAACTGCTGATGGTATAAGTAATTCGATTCTACCAACTTTGAAAAAACATAACATTAATATGTCAAAAGTATCAGTATTTAGTGCCAATAACACAAATTCTAATCTCGGGTTTTCTAAATCAGCATTTATTCTTATACAATCACATAAGAATATTTTTAAGTGGGGTTGTTTAGCACACGTAGTGCACAATACTTTTCGAAAAGCTTTAGATGGTCTCGATTTTGATTTAGAGGCTTTAGTACTGAAAATAAATGCACATTTTTCCGTATATGCACCCAGACGCGAAGATTTAAAAGAATTTGTTTTGTATGTTGAGTTAGAATGGCAAGAATTAGTTAAACATTGTCCTACTAGGTGGTTGTCAATTGGCCCAGCGATTCAAAAAATGTTCAAGGGTTTCTACTATGAACTTCTAAATTTCCAGCTTTACATAGGAGCTTAGAATATTTTGTAGTGGTTTAGAAACAAATTTGCTAAATTGAATAGTTGTATATCTACCACCATTGTCACTAAACAAAACTCAGAATTTACAAAACAATCCAGACATCTTTTTAGAATATTATATCAATCATTTATATTTCTTAAAATAAGTTTTACTTAGGTACCTTTTTTAGAATGTGTAGAAGATGGATAAACAAAATCAATTTCAGTTATATTGCTCGTATTTTTCAATACAGCACGATCATAATCAGTTATACTAATATTTGATTCTTTAAAAAAAATTGCTATACCTAAATTATATGTGGTTAAAAAATAATAATAATTTATGATAGGTAATATTAAAAATTCCTTTTTATTATTTTCAGAAATTAACAATTGTGCTTGTGATTGGGTTGCTTGCGCTAGAATAATTGAATCGCTTTTAAATAGCTTTCAGGGTAGTAGCTTTTTAAAAAACTGAAAACTGAAAATGCGCTAAATCCAATCTCTTTTTTAATTTCTACTTTTCACATTATATCTTCAATTAAAGCAGAATCTGATAAATGCTTATCTATAAGCAATTTATTCTTAAACTCCTTAGTATCGCTTTCACAACTTGCACTTAAAGAAAATGTAAGCTATTTTTTTGAGTATTATCCTCGTAAACGATCAGTCGTAAAATCATCTTCTAAAAGGAAATATCTTTTAAGTTTGTGGCCACATCAACCTTAACTTGTAAAATTTCAAAAAAACTTGGATATAACACCCGAAAAGCAATGCCTATATTATTATAATTAATATATACCTATATCTGGTGGTGTACCTCAGGGTTCTAAGCTTGGTCCCATTCTATTTAACATCTACGTATATGATATCCCTCAGTCTCCTCGTATGAATGAGGAATTTAACATTACCTAACCTAACCTAACCTAGCCCTTTTTGCAGACGATACTACAATATTCACCGAATCACGAAACAATTAAGCAATTACCACAAATCTGTAAGTACATCTTGATACAATATCTTATTGGTGTAATAAATGGCGTATCCAAATAAATGCGTCAAAAAGCACAGGTGTTATTTTAAGTCTTCGTCCTTACCACCCCCTATACCATTAACATTTAACAATGTTAATATACCTTGGAACTCGTCAGTAAAGTACCTCGGCTTGACATTGGATAAACGGCTAACATGGCAGCCCCATATCTCATCCAAACTTCAACAGGTATATCAGCGCCTTTCTATGTTATACCCTATTCTCAATAAAAAAATCTACAATACAGAAAATATGCTCTCTTCTAATATTTAAACAAATTCTACGTACCACTAAGGCCGGTGACACACATGAGAAATTTGTTTCGTAAAATTTGTTTCTTACAATTAATCGCACGAAACATTTCATGGTCAATACACACAGAACAAATTTGTTTCATAAATATATTT